CAATGATAGTGATACATGTACACCTAATACCTTAAAGGAGCACGGACACGGAAGCGCATGCATGCTATGGCTTCAATACGGACCAACAAAGGGTGTGGCATTGTGAGCCGTGTGATACAATGGATTCTGGATCTTCACTTGTAAGTGTCTTCACAGTGACTCCTTTTCATACATACACTTACTGAAGGATTTCTAGCATTATGATGCTTAGTACCAAGCCTCCAGTCCAGCATTATTTCTTCGTAGGTGAGCTTTGACGGTCGCCATTTTGTCCCTCTCACGTGAGCTGAAACACTACGTCATCTTGATTATTTGGTCTAAAAATCAAGATGACGCGCTTCCGTGTCCGTGCTCCTTTAAGGTTACTTTTAAATGCGGGTACTATTAATTGCAAATTTTGCATTTGGGTGAAAAATCACAATTATTAATAATGACATCATGATGCCATATAACTATTAGTAATAATTACTTAATTGCAATTTTTAATACCAGCAAAATCTACCTAGTGGTAAATCGCAAAATTTAGTATCTTTTTTCACTTTTTATTTTTTTAGTAAAGTCACTCTAAGGTATTATCTCACACAGGCCCACTAAGAGGAGGTGGCAGAGGGAGAAATTCTAGCCCCCCCTGCAAAAAATTACCAGGCCCAAAGAAGCAAAAGAGGCCCCCACAAACTTTATCTTTAAAAGCATGATTTGGATCCCTTTACACCAATGTGCCAATTCAAAATTAATATCAAATTATAATTATAAATATAGAGCAGTTTATACTCTTCCCTCTAGGCCCCTCCTGCTCTCTCAGTAGCCATGATTAATAGGTAGAGAGGGAGAGAGGACATAATGACAGACAGTAATAATGACAGAATGAGCAATTTGACCTTTTGAACATGCAAGTACAGTACCATACATGTACATGTAAATAAGATATAATGTACATCCAAATAACAAATACTGTACATGTACAATACACACATAGTAAGCAAAAAAATGAGAGAGAAATAGAGTTGACTCGTGCCAGAAATAGAACACAATAGCAAATTAAAGTGCCTAGTCAATGATCCATAAAAACACACTAAGGTAAGCAATGTAAGCATTTACTATAGAGTCATAATTCCATTTATTTCTTTAATAGTGTGACAGACACAGTATACTGTGTGAACTGACTCAGCATGACTACAAGATATTAACATAATTTATAGATGAAATATGGTAATGCAAATGATGGTAGTTTATATCTACATTGTATATAATGAGCGATTTGACCTTTTGAATATGCAAGTACAGTAAATGTACATGTACAATTAAGAGTAAATTGAAGAGAATAGAAAGAAAGATCCAATACATACACGTACATTATATTAATATCCCATTGAAGAAATAAATACATTACTTTTTATGATAATATCCCATGCTGCCATTACTTGTGTCTTCTTCTTCAATGAGTCCTATAGCTTTACCCAGGGTCAGGAGCCACTCCTCCATTTCCTTTTGTGTTTCTGTTGCTAACGGATACACTGTCTTCTCATCTTCTGTCACAATGTCAAATCCAAATGTTCTCAACTTTGAATTCTACAAAAAGAGAATGTGACCCGGTATCTTGGTAGTCTATGACAGGGTTTCCCACAGGATTTTGGCATAGTGCTTCTTGTCAGAAAAATTTTAAAGTTGCTCCAAAATCAGGCCAAAGTCCCTGTACCAAAAAGTTGTGGCAGCCATTTTGAAGTGGGGTGAATCCTACTTAGTAATGCTACCACGTTACTGAAGGGTCATTGGTCAAATTTCATCAAAAATGAAAAGTATTGAATTCTCTACTTTTATAATTTTTCTGATACATATACATGTACATGTACATGTTCTTACGTTATGTAGAAAATTTGAGCTGATTCTGATCAACATTGAATTTTTTAAGAATTTTAAAAGTTACTGAAAAATCGGAGCAAAGTCCCTGTGCTTTAGTACAGAGTCATTGGCCAAATTTTGCCAAAAATGAAAA